CTGTGAGAAAGTTGTCAAAAGTTGTCAACTTAAATCGTTCAAATATTAAATTAGCAGTCGGCGAGCAGTAATCTTCGAATTTCTTTATGATTGATTCTAGTTTTTTATTTTCCTCTTCTGTGTATGTAAAGCTATTGTGAAGGTCCAGTCCTTCATCACCCACAAGGTTCAAGAATACGGCTATCTTCTGTGCTTCTGGCTTATCCAGCAATCCTGTGGCTGTCAGGAATAACTCAAACTTTTGTGAAAATCTTTTCCAGTTTTCCGCTATATTTCCATCTAGGTTCAACGGTTCAGGAGGTCGACACAAATTCTCCATAACGTGTAAAACTCGTAGACTATTTAGCCCGAATAAACACCTGACACCATGTAATATCCTGGTAAACCTGCCGGGGTATAAGGATGAATAAATAAGTATGTTATATTCCAGGCCGTTTATTGTGATACTTTATCTGACACCCTCATGTTGACTGCCCTAACATGACAGGTGATGTCACCACGAGGCTCCTGTCATGTTGGTTGCCTAACAATGGCACCACATATATTACAGTATGCTTAAAATTTGAGACAAAAGGTTGTTTCCGCCGCTTTATACTCCTGGGCTGAGATTAGCGCTCCATTCAGCAATTTGTAATATATTCAAAGAGCTTATTACATTTTAACAATCTGTAGTCCATCTATAAATACCTGTACTCCAATTTGTTTCAAAAATTTTAAGTGCTGAGTGTACCTATGAAATAATATTTTAATATCGGCTTCAAATGTTTGCAGGCTTCCGTTATGTTGTTGATGTCGAACTTTTAACTGACTTTAAAAAAAAAGCCTGTTTTGAGATGCTGCTAACCATATCTTGTCTCTAAAGCCTGAACGATAGAAGTATAACTGGGAGCATTCTGGGAAAGAAAGTACAAGTTTGTTGCTGTCATCTGTCATCATTTCTTTCTTAGTTTAGCCATTTACTGTAGCTGCATCTTCGAATGGGTAACGATAAATCTCCCAAGCTGTTTGTCCACCCAATATGGGTGGTTTTAAAATTTTTTCGGTTTTAACTATAGTATATGTTGAGGCTGTTTATTAAGTTTCGACATTAGTTAATAAAAAAATATTAGGTACGGAAGCTTGGGTACCAATTTGTCTTTCTAAGTTAACCATTTGACTTTCTAAATAAGATCATAAATCGTTTTGCTGCGGTTCTATTTATTTTCTAAATAGATTTTGTTTGTTTGTCTATTTTGGTTTTTGAACAAGTTTTTATATCGTTCTGTTGATCTTCTAGTTTATTTACTCTACTAGTAATTTGACTTAGCACTAACTTACAATTTTTGTAAATTTGAAATAAACCATTTCTGATTTCTACCTCTACTTTTCTACGTCTCTCCTCTTTTCTTTCTTCCTCTTCCTGTCTACGCACCTTGTTCACAGCTTCCTGCTCTAGCCTACGCGCTACGGTTGCCCTTTACCTCCTCCTCTTGCCTACGCTTTTTCGTTTCGTTTTCTATATTTAAAACAATGTTCGGACTTATCCACATTTTTATCAAATTCAGAAGATCTTCATTAACATCATTAACAATTAGTTAATACCTCTTTTAATCCACCGTTGTCACCAATGTTACACTTCTTTAAAATAACTTTATTCACAACAGCAAATAATATTACAATATTTGTTAACAACTATAACTGAATGATAAAACTATGCAAACACTCAAATTATTATTACTACTTGAACTGTCAACTTCCTGTTTATGTACATTTTCTGACGTTCCAAACCTTACGAGACATTTCGGGACATTTTAATGACTGCTTCTTCTTCTTCCTCTTTATAAGCAATTCTGATTGTTCATTGGCGGATTAATACCTGTATGGAAGGTTGTCACTCCATATTTTGCGCGGTCGCCCGATACTTCTGCTGCCGATTGGTGACTTATCTCTTGCTATTTTGACTACACGGGTCTCCTTTATTCTGCTTATGCGGTTATTCCATTCTTTATTTCTATTTTCATTTTGTATACATCCATTTCTCTCTTACTGTAACCTCTAGAGAGCGCGTCCCAAGGTGGCGGATAGGGGAATGCCCGACCCGGTTTACCGGTGGGTAGGAGGGAAATAAAATACCTCCCGTGGACCAACAGGTAATTCACCGAATGATTGCCGGTATAAGCAATCCCCCACTTATGACCAACGGCTGCGGGCGGATGAGTTAATAAGTGAAAGGACACTCTTTTGTACAAGGGTTGGGAAACTGGTCCTAAAGGCGGATGAACCGAAAAATATGTAAGGATGCAGAAGGCAACGGAGAACCACTGCATTAAAGACTTTTAGAGTTCCCCTAGTAAAGTCATGAATGGCAAATGACAAGTAAAGTAAACAAACTTACTGATTATGGAGCACGGAATCAAGATCTGGCAGGGGAAGAATAACTGTAGATCACAATGCCTCCCAGGTCGTAAACCAGAGAAATCTCTGTGGACTTAAGACATTGAAAATAGCAACCTGGAATGTCAGAAGTTTATATGCAAGTGGTAAATTAGCGAACATACTGCTTGAAATGGAAAACCTCCAAATTTATGTTTTAGGTATAAGTGACGTACAGTGGCCAGGTTCAGGCAAACAAATTACAAATAATGGAACCATGTATTATTCAGGTAACAACGAGGCCAATCATCGCTATGGTGTTGCTATCTTAGTTGCAAAAAATGTCAATTACTCTGTGATAAGTTTTACTCCTTATTCTGATAGGATCTTATCAATACAACTACTAGTCTAAAAAATGTATAGTAAATTTTATTCAAGTTTATGCTCCTACGGCAGATAGAGATGACGATGATATTGAACTATTTTACCATGATTTGGAACAAGTCTTAAAATCAATGACGAAACATCACACTACAATGCCAAGTTGGCCAGGGAAGAGTGGATGGATATGTGGGGGAATATGGCCTAGGAAATAGAAATGAACGTGGTGACCGTTTGATACAATTTTGCCAGACGGAAGAATTTGTAATAGCTAATACACCTTTTAAGCTACCAAAAAGAAGATTGTATACATGGAAATCTCTCGGTGATACAACGAATAGAATAATCCGAAATCAAATTGACTGTGTCCTTATTAAGCAAAGATTTCGTAATTCTATACTGTCTACCCTGAAGCAAACATCGGTTCAGACCATAACCCCATAGTAGTCACATTACGAACCAAATTAAAACTGGTTAAAAAACCCACACAAAGTAGAATTGATATTAAGAGATTAAGGGAACCACAAACAAAGGAACCACAAACAAAGGAAGTATATGCCTGCTTCATTGATTTTGATAAGGCATTTGACAGAGTGCAGCATAATCGACTTAAAGAAATTTTATTAAATAAAAACATAGACAGTAGAGACATTAGAATCATCTGTAACCTCTATTGGAATCAAACAGCAAAAGTGAAAGTTGAAAACGAACTGACCGAGGATATTCAGATTCGCCGTGGGGTCCGCCAAGGGTGTATTTTATCACCCTTGTTATTCAATTTATACAGTGAAGCCATCTCAGAATTAGCGCTTGATGAGGTCAGTGAGGGCCTTATAATAAACTTAATAATATAAGATATGACACCGTCCTTTTGGCAGGGACACTAGAAGAACTGCAACATCTTGCTGAACAACTAAATATATTGTATTGCAACGATTATGGACTAAAAATCAATTTGAAGAAAACCAAGTTCATGGTATTTACAAAAGCACAAAACATCAAAGTTAAGCTAGTACTAGATAATACAGAAATTGAACAAATATTTTCGTACAAATACCTTGGGGCATGGATCACAGAAGATACTGATCAGACAAAAAAAAAAAAAAAAAATAAGATGCCGCATGGAAATTGCACGGTCAACTTTTAATAGAATGAGAAAACTTTTTTTTGTAATCGCGATATCAACATATCGCTCCGGATAAGAATACTTCGATGTTATATTTTCTCTACCCTTTTGTATGGAGTTGAATCTTGGACACTTAAAAAATCCAACATTAAAAACCTAGAAGCATTCGAAATGTGGTGTTACCGACGTATTTTGAAAATATCATGGATGGATCGCAAAACAAATGAACAAGTTCTCTAACAACTAGGAAAACAATGCGAAGTTTTAAATTATATAAAAATCAGGAAATTGGAATACTTGGGGCACATTATGAGAGGTGAAAAATACGAACTACTAAGGAATATAATGCAGGGTAAAATCAAAGGTAGAAGAAGCGTAGGAAGACGTAAAATCTCGTGGCTACGCAATCTCCGTGAATGGTTTGGATGCAGTTTAATTGAACTATTCAGGCGCGTAACCAATAAAATTATAATTGCCAGAATGATTTCCAATCTCTGATAGGAGTGGAACTTGAAGAAGAAGATACATCCATTTATACACTGTAATCTCTTTCGATCTCTCAGAGTATTTGCTGTTATTCTTCTCAGAACTCTCATCTCTGCACTTTACAATAGCCTTTGCGTTGTGTCTATGTCGGGTCTTGTTTCTGAGGCATATGTCATTATTGGTCTTACTTACACTTAGACATACTTTTTTCCATTTTGTATTTCTTTTGTAAAAGTATTAAACAAAAAGGGAGAGATAACGGAGCCCTGTAGTAAACCTGTGGATGATCGTCTGGGACCTACTACAGAATTGTTATTCGACCTTATATACACTTTTACTTGTGTTAGAAGGTTAAAAGTTTTAAGCTTGGAGGTCACGATGCTGTCTATATTTTTAGACTACAAGTAAAGAAAGGATGTATGATATAAGAGTAAAAATATTAATTACTGGTTCTAGAAATACTCAAACATTATTTCAAGCAAAACTGCTAGTAATAGATTTTTGTTCTCAGTAACTAGATTATTCAGTCCTAACGGCACTGAACACTATGAGGTAATAAATAGGTACACCCTTTCCCTACTATTTTAAAATAAGGAATCCATAGAATAATAACCAATTGTTACTAAACACATTTTAGTAATATATAAATACTTACTTTGCGTATGCTTTTTCTAAAAGAGCTGCCCAAAACTCTGAATTATTTGCACAATGTAAATAAACCATCCTTCCTTTATACGTTGGTAGTTTATCATCAATTAATACATCTTTCCATTCGCCAAAACACCAAAACCTAAAACTTCAAATAAAATAAACTGAGTATCTATATAAAACAAGATATTTAGCGGCTTTGTAGTGGAAATTTTAATTTGTGATGGCTACAGTAAGGAACAAGAGATAAAATATAGTCAGTTGCCATGACGATAAAGTTATCAATAAAATAACTTATAATGAAGTAAATTTTTTTTATCATTTTGCAGATGAAAGTTTTTACTTCATTATAAGTTTTTTAAATTATGGTATACAGCTAACCACTAAGAATTTCCCTTTTAAATTTTATCAATAACAATATAACAATATGTTTCCATAGAACAACTTCGCCATTGTCGGTCCTAAGCTTGGATAAGGAAGAAAAAAAAAATACATGGCTAATAACTGTGACTTGATATACTAGTACTCATGCCCAGTGTATGCTATCAATAAATAACTAATACTCCAGGAGAGGGTTGGTAAAGAAACAGATCTAATCACCACTATACAAACCATAGAACTGGAGTACCTACGCCACGTGATAAGGGGACCAAAATATGAAATTTTGAGACTCATAATACAGGGAAAGATTCAAGGAAGAAGATATGTTGGCCGAAGCAGAACTCATGGTTAAAGAATCAACGTGATTATTATCAATGCAGATCGGTTGATTCCAACCTCCGTAGGGAGACTGCACTCTAAGAAGAAGAATCCTTCAGTCCACATATGTATATGACACTAGCAAATCCTATTGAAGGTAGAAGATAGAGGAAGACTTCCTGGTCCCCTAGTGCTCGTAGTACTTCCGTAGGGTCCACAAGCCTACTTTGTAAAAATATATATTAAGCTAGCTACAGAAAACCTTATAAAAATATATATTAAGCTTAAGCTTAAGCTTATTAAGGCATCCTTGTAAATGGTGAAAGAGTAAACAATGTTAGATATGCCGACGACACCATGGTGATAGCAGATAGTTTAGAGGGACTTCAGAGGCTAATGGACAGAATAAACAAGTACAGTCAACAGTACGGACTAAACATTAATACCCACAAAACGAAACAAATGATTATCAGCAAGGAGAATATAAACGGGGCTCATCTATACATTAATGGGACGCAGATAGAGCGAGTAAAACAGTATTGTTACCTGGGAACTATTATTAACGAACAGTGGAGCAATTTACAGGAAATAAAGTGCCGCATAGGAAAGGCAAGAACGGTCTTTAACAAAATGAGCGCCATCTTCAAAAGTCACAACATATCCCTTGATACAAAAATGAGACATTTGAGATGCTATGTTTTTTCTGTGTTGTTGTAGGGGGCGGAGGCATGGACGCTTACAGACGCCACTATTAAAAAACTTGAAGCATTTGAGATGTGGCTTTATAGAAGAATGCTGAGAATATCATGGACAGCAAGGATCACGAACAAGGAAGTTCTAGGAAAAATGAAGAAGGAACCAGAGATTGTGTTTACGATCAAACGCATAAAATTGCAATATCTGGGACACGTTATGAGTAATCAGCACCGTTACTCCCTGCTACAGTCTATATTGCAAGGTAAAGTCAAAGGTAAGCGAGGACCCGGTAGAAGGAGAATATCATGGCTGCGGAATTTAAGAACATGGTTTAAGAAAACCTCAACGGAGCTGTTTCGAGCCGCAGCGAGCAAGGTTATGATTGCCAATATGATTTCCAACATCCGAAACGGATAGGAACCAGAAGAAGAAGAAGCTACAAAAACAAAAACCGGACGACCGGGCAAACGAAAAAAGGACATTAGATTCTCGAGCAAAGAAATATCTTCTAGATAACTAACATATAATCTGGGCATGACATCTATACAAAAAATAGCTGTATCCAGAAGAAGTAAATCATATTAAACTATAGTTGTCATCAAATGTAGTTCCTACAGAGGATAAAATAAACAAAAAGCAAACAATTTTTTTTGTTAAATTGAAACAAAATTATAGGCTATGTTGAAGTGACGATGTTAACATATTTATTGGGTGCATGAAAGCGTTAAGACTACTATTATTAGTCTAGAAGCCCATTGAGGATTTTTAATGGGTCATTTGACTTAGGAATCATATATAAAACAATAATCAACTTTAGAAACTATGCCGTTAATTCTTATCGGTACATGTAAGTCACAAGTGAGGTCAACTTACCATTCAAGGTGGTAAACTTTTTTATACGGCATTTAGAACCCAGCTAGGTAATACAAAAATAATCACCTGCGACACAATGCCGTACAAAATATTGGTACCAGAAGCAGAAACAATTTTTTATTTTTGGAAAACTTTTTCCCCATATTCGGTATTTTGCTACAATTACGGCATTTATACACAAAGTTGTGAATCGTATATAGATTAATTTTTTTGCGACGCCGTATATTGTATCTGGGACAGGGGTGAGAAATCTAAGGCGCTACCCTTAGTTGAATCCTCATGGTTTGTGTGCCGATAAGATTTGGTGGCATAGTTTTTAAAGTTGTTATTCTATTTTGTACTTATTACATAGTTTACGTATTAATTTATATGTAATTAGTGCTTGGTCAAATGACCCATTAAAAACGTTTTGTTGGCTTGTAGTCTATCAAGCATTAAGTAGAGATGTAAAGATCAACTACAGAATCACATAGTGTAAATCAAGATCGTAACTACAATGGAACCAGACGTGCTATTATCGCTATATTCTAGAACATGACGAGCATCATCACATACTTTCAATATAAGCGTGTACATAAAGTGAAGTGAACGTCCTTAGACCAGTTCAAGCAAAAATAAATACAACGTTGAAAAATTTAAGTGTGCTGATGTATTAAGAGAGTTTGGGAGAACGTGTAACTCCTAGAAAGCGCGTCCTCAGGTGGTGGATAGGGGAATGCCTGACCTGGTTTACCGGTTAGAAGGAGGGAAATAAAAACCTCCCGTGGACCAACATTTAATTCACTGAATGATTACCGGTATAAACAATCTCCCACTTGCTGCCAACGGCTTCGGGCGGACGAGTTGATAGGTTATAGGGCACTCTTTTGTCCTGGGGCTGAAAAACCGGCCCCAAAGGCGGAATAATCAGTGGTTTGGTCAACGGCACCAGAATTTAGAAGGCAACGAAAAACCACTATATTAAATGGAAAACCATTTAAAACCACCAATTAAAACCACTATGGATATCTCTAGTACAGTCATACAACACAAAACAAATTCGCTTACTGATCATGGACATCGGAGACCAAGATCCAACAAGAGAGGTGATTCCTATAACCACAGGGCCTCCCGGGTCGTTAATATGCAAAATCCCTGTGAAACGCCCAATAGCACACCTATAAGAAAAATCCACATAAATTCTTTGAAGAGAATATCCACTTAGAACGTTAGGACTATGGCTCAATCAGGAAAAATCCAATGCACATTCAAAGAAATGGAACGCATGAAAATAGCAATATTGAGCACAAGCGAAATGGCGACATAGAAGAATACAGAGTATATTTTTCAGGATCACAAAATGGTAAATATGAAAATGGAGTCGGAATTATCACACATAAAAGTGTAGCCAAACATGTCAACAACTTTATACCAGTGAACGATAGAATCCTCTAGTTACAAATAAATACGTTACCGATGATCACCAACATTATATAAGTCTCTGCACCTACGGTAGACCCATCGAGCAAAAAGACAAAAGAGGGAATGTAAAGACAGTGGGGGCAAACATATTGTTAGACAGGAAGTGTGATCTTTAGAGGCCACATTAAACAAGGAAACAGAGTCTCTTTCCTTGTTTGACATCAAATTTAGTTGGGTTATGTTATTGTTTGTCCCAAATGTCACATGAAATCTTATTTATATTGAAGTTTTTTAACAATTGTGTCGCATTTTAGACTCTTATCATTAATAATTAATTAAAACTTTCTCGTCTAAGACACATTCTGAAAAATATTATATAGCTACTGTTGATAAGTGTCGGAAAATTTAAATTTGGCGCATTCGCATTTCCGGATATGTCCGCCATTAGAGGCCACTTTTTTGGTCTCCTTTTCATAAGGATTAGATTCCCTCTTTTGTCTTATTGCTCGATGGGTAGACCACAGTAATAAGGAAATATCAGAATTTTATAAACAAGTAAGCAACCTTATAAGAAATATACCGAGACATGAACTTTTTACCATGAAACCGAAGACATGGGAGATTTTAATGCTAAAATAAGCAACGGAAAAAAGGGTAACATAGTGGTCCTTATAGATTAGGATAGAGAAATCGACGAGAAGAAACAATGAGTATCTTTGTAGCTGAAACTGACTTAATCGTGCTAAACACATTTTACAAATTCATTTTTACAAATTTATATTCGGCTGTAGTAGACTATGGAATACCAAAAGGATTAATAGAATTAATTCAAGTGACAATGACAAAAGTTGAATGTAATGTACGAGCACCAGTGCATTTCTCTCAACCATTTAAAATTAACACAGAACTGCTCCAGGAAAATGCGCTAGCATGCATGCTGTTTAACCTGGCGTTAAACTTAAATTTCAGCAGTTGAAACTTTCACGCGAATCAAAAATGCTACAGAAAATATCAGTCATAGTTAATACACAGAAAACTAAATCTCTGCCGGAGTAGTAAAGAATTTAAACAAAACAACATAGTTACTGTAAGAATTCCGTTACTTAGGGTCACTGGTGGACCACACAACCAATAAGTCCAAAAGATAAAAAGTGAACGGGCGTGGCTAATTTTTGCTACTTTGGCGTAGACCCTCAGTTAAAAGCGAGAAATATAAATAAATACCGCCATACACTGCTCACTTACTGATCGTACACATGAATAATGACGATGCGAGAGGAAGAGTTAGTTACTGTGAATATTGGGAAGAAAAGTACCGAGGAATATATATGGCATAGTTAACGAATATGTATGAAGAAGACGATATAATTTTAAACTCTAGACTTTTTTGGCAAATATTTATAAAACTATCAAAAATACTCCTGAGATAGGTAAAACACGTGATGCAAATTCAGGAGACGACCTCCATATCTGGACGATATGGAGGAAGATTTAAAATAGATTACAGCGCGGAAATGAAGCCCAATGTTGATAACGATTATGATGATGATGATGATAATGACGATGATCGTGATACTTCCATCAAACAATCGTTAGTAGTTAGCTAATCAATTACAACAGAGTGCTGGAACTTACCGAAAAATTCCACAATATGAGTTAGCCGCATCAAAATCTTGGTCAGGTGGAACTACTCGTTCGAGCAACTTTGGTGTTAATGCTAAAGAAGACACAGCAGCCAATAATCTTTGGTCTCCAACTTCTCCAGATTCAATTGAACACCTTTTGGGAGATTCGTCAGAGGTGTTATTGATAAAACGTGGTCGCTGACAGATTTCCTATAAAATAAAGCTTAAAAAATTCATTTATCTTTAAAAAAGTAATAAATAACAAATTGTGCATGTACTGACGAATCAATCTTAAACCAAAAGATTAAGTGATATTGACAAGATCAGTTTTAATGCTTTTGGTCTGTAGCTCAAACCTAAACTAGCTGGTACTATAATACATAATTGTTTGTACAGTCATTTTCCTTAAGTAGGGATATATCCCGTCTGGACCCGGTGATTTATATTTCTGAAATGACTTTACTGCCCATTTGATTTTATTCTGGTTCACGGCTTCTTTTGCCATGAGCCAGTTTTCTCTAGAACCATAGACATGGTATTTAGTCTAGTCTGCTTCCATGAGGCTAGTGGTATCAGTTTTATTCTAGACTGAGAAAAGTGAAAAGTTCTTTCAGGGTCTCTTCACCATTATGACTCCTTTTGGAGCGGGATAATACTTATCTGAAGGTGATTTGAGATAACTTTATGGAGCCTTGATATTTCTGCAGTCTGTTTCATTTTCTTGCAATGTCGTCTCCATAATTCTCTTTTTGATCTTCTCAGTTCCTTAGTCAGAGAGATAGAAGGCTGAGATTCAACTAGAATACTTTCCTGTAGGAATTCCTCACTAAATTTGGACAGTTGTCTTCGAACGCAAACGTTAGAGCCTATTGAAATTGGTTAAATAGGTCGAATTCATGTTTTATTGTCCCTTTAGACCTGCCTAGACCATACTGTTACGATAATTATGGCGTATAAAAACTGTAAACATATTTATTCATTCACGAATGTTCTAGGTCAAATACTACCGAATTCTCAAAAAGGGTCGAATAACCAGTACAGGTAACAATAATGCAGTCGACGGCCCGAGCCCTCCGAGTTTTTATTAGACGAGATAGCGATCGACTTTTCTAGTCTATTAACAAAATCCACAAGGAAAACAATTCCTGTAGCTGGCTGTATACCACGTATCACAAAAAAGAGGTTAGTCTTCGTAAGTGGGTATATTTATTTAAAAACCCTTAAAAGGGCTACATCAAGAAAACAAACGTTTTCGGACTAAACAGTCCATCATCAGGTATAAAATCGCTAGGTTAAAATGCCTGAGCCACCAAAATACATGGGTAAAATCCCTTTAAATTACATATAGTTATAAAAGATTATACATCTTGTGGTTAAAAAACTGTGATGTTCAGTATTAAATTAAATATGACTTCAGATAACATACATTGTAAAATTGAGTTTCAGGGCCGGGGAGTAAACCTAGAGGTTTACTCCTAGCGTAGAACCGTTAGAAGCGTTAGAACACAGCGTAGAGGTTTACTCCCCGGCTTTGGAACTCAATTTTACAATGTATGTTACCTGAAGTCACATTTAATTTAATACTGAACATCACAGTTTTTTAACAACAAGATGTACTTATAATCTTTTATAACTATATGTAATTTAAAGGGTTTTTACCCATGTATTTTGGTGGCTCAGGCATTTTAACCTAGCGATTTTAAACCTGATGATGGACTGTTTAGTCCGAAAACGTTTGTTTTTTTAATGTAGTCCTTTTAAGGGGTTTTAAATAAATATACCCACTTACGAAGACTAACCTCTTTTTTTCTAGTCTAGCTGAATGAGTCACCTAATGGATGGAACGTCATCGATGCTTCGCCAGACCCTTCTAGATAACGCCATTTCATACAAATAACGGTGTCGAAGCATGGACATTAAAAATATCCACCATTAATCGTCTGGAGGCCTTTGACATGTGGCTGCACAGACGTATACTAAAAATTCCATGGACGGCTATGCTGACAAATGTGGCAGTCCTTGAGAGAGCAAATGCTGCTCGCGACTTGTTGATAACATAAAATGTAGAAAGATGGCCTATTTTGGGCACGTAGTAAGGGCAGACCGATATAATATTCTTCAACTTATTATGATGGGTACAATCGAAGGACGCAGAGGAATTGGTAGAAAGCAGGCCTCTTGGTTGAAGAATATCAGAGAGTGGACAGGAATAAAGAAAGCTGAGCAGCTTTTTAGAATAGATCGAGACAGAGACAGTTTCGCCATGTTAATCGCCAACATCAAGGGGACTTGATAGGGCACGTTAAGAAGAAGAACGGTGATTCTCATTGAGGAGAGGCAGTCAAAAAAGAAGTCCGGTCTCGTGTTAGAATTGTATCGCACGTAAATAAATTATTTGTAAAATAAATTAGTAGTAATAAAGACTTTTATAAATTCGTGAGTGTTATAAATATTGAACCTTTAGAATTAAAATAAGAACAATAAATTAGAATTAATAAAATAATTTAATATTCTAGGTCTGCTTCATATGACTCAGTTTGCTTTACAATATCTACGATAGGTTTCCTTGATAGGGTTATTTTTATTACATTTAATTTTAAAACAGATTTGTTGATGAACTGAACCACATGCCATTTTTTAACAGTTCTAGCCACATTAGATGTGGCCAGTGTTAAATAAATGACCTCTTTTCGCTATGAAGTTACAAAAGTTGGTTTGTTTCCTGCATATGTTTAGTATGTGTACATTTATGTTGCATAACAAACTATAGTAACTAAAAGATATTCCACTGGCCCAGGTCATATATTGCACTATGCATGCAAGTAAATGACATTAAAATAATATTGTCAATATTTTTGAGGTTTATTCCTGGGACGACTTTATCAGACGAAATTCGATTACATGAAATTAACTTAAATTTGAAAATACCTTTCAAAACAAGAAAAGAATATCATGTGATTTGTCTTTAAAAAGTCAACCACGCCTAATAACGCCAGTAAAATTTTTTTACTAAAAGAAATAATTTTTATTAGGACAAGTACGTCTGGCTCTATCAGTCTATATCATATAATGATTTACTGATTCCCTTTTTAATATTAAACGTTTTGGTTTGATTTGTAACTTAGATATCTGTTGGTGTATTTTGGTTTGTTGGGTATACAGGGTGTTTCAAAAAGGTATGTCATAAATTAAATTACGCATTCCGGGGACAAAAATAAATTGATTGAATTCAACCTATCTTAGTACAAAAGTATACACAAAAAAAGTTACAGCCCTTTGAAGTTACAAAATAAAAATTGTTTTTTTACATTATTTCCTAAACTACTTGACATTCTGCAATAAAAATGGACACGTTACTTTCAAAGCATTTTTAATACAAAAGAGACAACACAATCTAAGCGCACAGAAAAATTTTAAGGGGGGTGTGCAGTCCTAAATCTCCCCAAACTTTCGAATACGTTCAAATCAAATGAATTTTGTGGCACCATTAGTTTAACACATCATTTTTAACTTATATCACTTTTTCGAATAACTAGTTTTTTCCTAGTTGACCATAAAATTACAAATAGTTTCTACGGATATGATAATTACATACAGTTCCATTAATAATAGTCAATAATTTGAAGCTATCATTTATGGTGTGAATAAGATTAATATTAAAAATTTTGATATTACCATGGCCTACACATTGCAGGAAATCGCAGATATGCATTTACCTTTGGGTAAGTTGGATCAGATTAAATTATGATTTCCAAAAACTATCGGGAATATCGTAGGTGAATTTCAAGCAAATAGTGCAGTAGCCGCAAGGCATTATGCAGTAAAATACTGCAATCAAAATACACCCGAGAGACGATTATATCTCACCATTGATCGTCGTTTATTGGAAACGGGTACATTCCAACCGCAAGTTGATGGCAATAGTCATCATCATCTTTGGCTCGACAATCCTCCGTGGATCTTGGCCTGCTCTAAGATTCGTCGCCATTCTGTTCGGTTTTTGGCAACATGTTGCCATCTTCTGATTTTTAATATTCGTAAGTCGGTTTCTACTCCATCTAACCACCTAATTCGCGGTCGGCCTTTGCTTGTTTTTCCTACAGGTGTTCCTGTGGTTAGCTTTTTAGCAATGGTATTTTGTGGCATTCGTATTATGTGTCCAGCCCATCTAAGTCGCTGTGTTTTAATGAACGTTAAGACATCTGGCCCATCAAAGAGCTGATACAATTTAAAATTATATCTTCTGCGCCACTGCCCTTGGTCGTTTACAGCTCCAAATATTTTGCGGAGTATTTTACGCTCAAATATTCCCAAAAGTCTTTCATCTTTCTGCATTAGAGTCCATGTTTCTGCTCCATATGTGAGGACCGGCCTCAGCAATGTTTTGTATATAATAATTTTAGTTTTTCTTTGAATGTTTCTTGAGTGGAAATGCTTTTGGAGTCCATAGTATGCCCTATTTGTAAGATTTATTCGTCTTTTGATTTCTTTGCTTTTTTTATTGGTAGCAGTCAATAGCGACCCAAGGTATGTGAAGTTGTCAACACGTCCAAAGGTATGACTTCCAAAGACTGTTTCTCGTTCCTCATTTGCTATCGGATCCTTTGTAACCAACATGTCAAGTACAAGTTTTATCTTCGTTGATGACTAGACCGACCTGTTTCGCCGCTGTTTTCAATTCTAGGAGATATTTCTCAACATCTCGCTTGCTTCGCCCTATTATGTCAATGTCATCAGCATATGCTAAGACTTGTATCGATCTATTGTAAATAGTGCTGGCAATAGTGGTCGTACAATAATGGTTACAATCATGGACGTATAAACACAGATGGACTCAGTTATTTACATAAAATTGTGAAGTCAAAATTATTTGAATAGGTCACATTCTCAGCACCTTCAACTATTGTCACGTTTTGTTTTAAAATTTCTTATTCGCGAGTCGTTGAAAATATTACTCCGTACTTTATACTCTACAGGTGCTATCAAACCAAAATAATAATTTATTGGTTAGATTAATATATTTAATTGAAATCAAAATATAAAGTGTGCACATAGTGTGCATTATCATTTAATAATAGCGTATAATAGATATCAATAAATTATTTTATATGTAGAAGCACTGAAAACTATTTATAAATGGCAACGGTTGTTTACATTTCTCTGTCTTATGGATTTACGTCAAACTTCAAATCCCGTTCCATGTTTGTTTA